TGTGCCAGGCTGTCATATTAAGAAAAAGAATGACTTCTGCTTCCATAGGGTGGAACTTATCCAGGTCAGCTGACCACACTGGGCATGCAACAGCTGTACGATCTTGGAGTGAGGTTACGAAAGAAATACATACAGGAAGAGCCCTTCCTCACACCTTCTTTCAATCCTAAAGAAGTTTAGTGAGTGCTGTTGACGATTCTTTATTTAAATATATTGTTCTGCACCATTTGTGCTACAGAGAAGAATGCCACCCTAAACTGTCTTGAGGAGAAAAATCTTTACTATAAGGTTCAATTTATTAACATTAGTTAACTACTACATTAATATGAACTAACAACAAAAAATACTTCAAAAGCATTTATTAATCTTAGTTTATGTTCATTTCAACATTTACAATTACGTTAATAAAATCAAAGGTTATATCTGTTAATGTTATTTAATGGACCTGAGCTAACATGAACTAACAATCAACAGTTGTATTTTTATAACTGAATGTTAACAAAGATTAATAAATTGTGCACCTTGAGGTTTTGACTCACCCTCATGTCATTCCAAACCCATAAGACTTTGGTTATTCTTTGAGACACAAATTACTTTTACTTTACTTTACTTTTAGTCATTTAGCAGACGCTTTTATCCAAAGCGACTTACAAATAAGAAAAAGTAATTAAAACTAAAAGCTAAAACTCTATAAATACTATATATATATATATATATATATATATACACATTTAAGAAAAGAAAATAAATTTATATAAATACATTCAATATATATATATATTAATTTCATTTCCATTTTGTATGTTGAAGTACTGAAATAACTCAAATTAAATAAAACTAAAACTTAATAAAAAAAACTATATATAATAAAAAAAACGAATAAAATGACAACATTACTACAACTGTTAACTAAAACTAAAATAGATAACTAATACAAATCAAACTACATTAGTTTATCAGTAATCCTAAAAAAATAACACTGAGCCAAACACACATGCTAAAATAACAACAACTTACTGACACATAGTAAGAAATGGTTATAAAAAAACTGAAACAGAAGTGAAACAAGTAGTAGGAAAGAGGAGAAATAAAAAGCGATACTTATCATCTGTGATCAGTATATATATATATTGTAATACTGGAGACATCTCTATTTCCTTTGGGTGGTGAGAGTTCTTCCTTCCTAAATAAATGAAATAAATCAATAAGCCCGGTGGAGTCGCACGGTAGAGTCGATGGTCTTTACACTCTTCGGTCTTCACACGACCGCTTCCGCGGTAAACCTAAGCTTCTTTTTTATTCGTTTAACAAAACTCAAATTGAATTCAGCTGGACACACTTTCCTGTTTATCACAACAAATGGCCAAGCAAAGTGCATGACACTGACAAGGTACGCGATACCTTGATAAATTGAGTTCATATTAAGCAACTGTATCTCTTCAAGACTCAGAATTTTCATTTTTGGGTGAATTATCCCTTTAACTAACGTAACTAATTGGACCTTGTAGTTACCGAAAAATCTAATAAATTATCCTAATATACATGAATATGTTTATGGCTCTGAATTGCATCATTAATCTAAATGAGTAGGATGGAATTTCTGCCATTAATTTACAGCATTCGCTCTACCAACATTGTCCGCACCATTGAGTCGGCTAAGTGTTTGGTGGCAGGACTGTTCCAACAGGAACAAGCAGGTAAGGTGGCAGCTCAGCTACGCTTCTTTGTGTGATTTAGTTGAGTAATGGATGAGATGAGCATTACACAGTCTGTGTTTGATTTTCTCCCACTCTAAGGTGTTGTGTCCATCCTCACCGATAAGGCAGAGAACGAAATCCTCTATCCCAACTATCACGGATGCAAGCTGCTCAAGCGGCTAATTGGGTAAAACCTGCTTTGATGATAAAACTTGCTACTTTGATAATAATGATGATAACAAACATTTATAGAGAACCATTCATACAGAAATGTAGCTCACAATGGAAAGTTAGTTGGAAAATATTAGTAGTAGTAGTTAAAAAATTTATTTAAATTCAAGAATTGGAAGGAGATTTATCAACTCGTAAATGTTCCTAAATATTTAATCATCTTTTAAAAAAAAAATTTTAAATTGAGGTTTTGACATTATTCTTTCCTGCTTAAACAATATTCTAATAATATACTTTAATATCAGAAATCATTAGATCAGTCCCATACTTTTGAATGGTAGTGTAAATGCCCAAAAATGGCTTGTAATTGGTTTAACGCCATGTGTCTGTGTTTGACTTTTGTCCATCAAATGTAGTCACCGTTGGGGAGATTCGTCCACGCTTCCTGACATTGCTGCAGACCTACAGAGCATCCAGAGAGCCTTGGGGGTCGATCCTCATCAACATCTTGACTTCATCCTCATTAGAGATGACATGGTGGCGCGAGAGGTAAAGTGCTCGATACATTCTACAGATATATCCGAGTTGGCCTTGTTTATCAAATACAGTACTGTTATATTATTGATCCTAGTCCCACGGCCTGCCGCTTCCTACTGCTCTGGAGAACTGGAGGAGTATTGTGGAGCAGAGAGCAGTAGATATGATATGTCACATCTATGAGCCCAGTAAGAGGTGAGGAGCCAGTGAATCCTGCAAAAGAGTCTTGAGAAGAGAATTTATATAGTTGCTTACGGTTTCAGGCCTCTGTAAAGACGTTTGTGCTTTTGTTTGACCTCAGGCAGAATTTACAGCTGTGCGTGGGGCCGCTTTTCCACATACTCCTTATCAACATAGAGGATAAAATCCAAGGCACAACCTCTAAACCAGACAGGTGTCTTCTTTTAGAACAACATATCTATTGTTTTGTCATTTAAAACCTGACTTCTTCGAATGTTTTGGTTAAAATATGCTTGTACAATCCATTTTTAAACATTAAACTGAAGTGTCCACACTGTGCACCTCTCGACCTGCTTTCCAGACAGTAAATTTCATTTGCAAAACTTGAGAGGTGCTGCCCCACAGTGGCCAGACTCCGAGATAATGTGTGTAAAAGTCCAATTGCTGTTTGTGCTTATTAATATAGAAAGTTGTTCCTGTACTCTGTGCATGACACCACACTGATGCCATGTCTCATGGCTTTGGGGGTGTTTGACATGAAATGGCCACCGTATGCAGCTGACATCACACTGGAGCTATACCAGCATCGTCAAACTAACCAGCACTATGTTAAAGTGTCCTACATCGGCCAGGTAACACACACAGGAATCAGGGTGTAAAAAGCTAAAAATGCTATATGTAGCTCAAATGTTTAGGGTCAGTATGATTTTTAAGTGTTTTTGGAAGAATTCTCTCTGCTAACCAAGGCTGCATTTATTTGATCAGAAATACAGAGAAGCAGTAATATTGTGAAATATTATTGCAATTTAAATGAACAGTTTTCTATTTTAATTTATTTTCAAATGTAATCCATTCCTGTGATACAAAGCTGAATTTTCAGCAGCCATTACTCAAGTCTTCAGTGTCACATGATCCTTCAGAAATTATTCTAATTTGCTGATTAGGTGCATATTTCTTATTATCGTCAGTGTTGAATTAATTAATATTTTAATGTCTTTTTTTTTGTGGAAACTTTTTTTTTTTCCAAGTTACTTGATGAAAAGAACAGCATTTATTTTAAATGGAATTCTTTTGTAACATTGATCAAAAGTGACAGTAAAGATATTTACAATTTAATGCATCCTTGATGAATATTAACACTTAAAAAAAAAAAAAAGTTACCGGTATTGTAACTAAATAGAATGTTTATTTAGGGGGCGGGGGTCCCTAAATAAACGTCACTGAACATTAGCAACAACTTCTTGCTTGTCGTTAAAGTGTCCTTAATAAGTTATTTATACCTACAGGACCAAAAAATCCCAGGCTGCAGTGATGTCTACTGCCCGCTGCACGAGTTTAAGGAGGCATTGGCTGTTTACGCTCTACCTGATGAACGTTACCATACCCTCTGTGACAGTATTGATGACCATCCCAAACTCTGACCTCATACTAGCTCTCAACTCAACCTTGCCCCAGAAAACGCAGATGTTTTGCACCAACCTGGTCTCTAGAAACCTCTGGAGCTCAGGTCTCTCCTACATGGATTCAGTTGTTCATATTAACAAAAGAGCAATATCAGAAGTCTTATTGTCAGGTCCTTTCCTATTGTTTAAGGAAACTGCTTAATGACTCAGCGTACACTGCAGATAAACATTTTGCCATTTGTTACATCTGTAAACAAGTTATTTTACAGATTTTCAGAATATTAAGCAAGCATTTCACTGCAAAAATATTGATGATGCGTGTACATTTGTGCACAACTAGTCAAATGGGATTTAGTGTGGAATATCTTTATTAGGTGCCTTCATTTCAGAGTATCAGTCATCTGAAACTGCTACAGATTTTGCTGAAACATTTTAAAAATATTTGATGTTTTAACATCAAATTAAGTGCTGTTAAATGTAATATCAAAGCAGAAATGGTGAACATTTTCTTACATATTCACTACTAATATGCATATTAAATTATGATACAATAAAAAATCTTTAAAAGTTTTAAATGTGATCGATATTTTATAGTTTATTTTACTTTGTGCACTCACTAGTGTAACAAGCCAAAATACCAAAGTACACAGATAGACATGAAGCAAAGTGTAAATTTTAAAATTCAAAATTTATTTATATGGCTATTTGGTCGTTCTACATTTCAAACTTGTGTTTTCAGACAAAACACCTCAACATTTAAAACGTCTTCATATAAGTCCATTGCATTTTATGTTAAAGAAGGATATGCATTAAAAGCCAGACAAGGAATTTTCAAAGGGGGAGGGGGGGAATCACATTAGACATTTCGGGATTCCCTTATTTAAAAGACACAGTCACTGTCTCATTTTGAAAAGCTGTAGTCAAACAATTGTTTTCACAAAATGGTACATACCAAAATAATGGTATTTAACCAATGCAGGTTAACCATTTTGTGTTTTTTTTTTTTTTTTGAATAACTAACCCCATTAACGAACCTTCATTTTAAAATTCCTGACTAATTTCTGTAATGGTTTTCTACAACACTGCCAGACAACCACACATTTAGGGCAGTCCACTAGCTCCACTCCAACAATCATTCAAGTACATCCCAGTCCATCGCATCTTTCTTAGGTTTCAAAACAAAGCGAACATTAAGTGCACTCAAGACTATGCCATTTATAAAAAATAATAACAATAGTAATAACAACTGTAGTAATTACATTAGTAGTAACAAATTTAAAGCATTCTACACAATTCTCATTATACATATATCACCTTGACCATCAGGCTCCGCCCCCCTGAGAAATACACCATGGGTTCAAGTTCTGGTTCAACACATCTGTATCAATTGCAAAGCAACTTCTTAATAGCTTAGTTACTTAAATAACAACAACAATTATTGTGAGGAAAAAGACCATTTAAACCATCATAACATTATTTACATAAATTGAACCTCATTGTCATACATCACAGATCCTTGGTATTTACAGCGTTAATATTTAAAGAAACAAAGCTTTGCTCCTCTTCATTTAAGCTTGTGGCTTTTTACCTGAAATTAAGGACAAAACTATTTAAATTCTCATGGAAATTCAAAAACCTACGGAAATATTGAGAAAATCTCTGGATTACAAACTGACCTCACTGAGCAGCAATGCACTGGCGGCATTTGTAGATCTTGGGATTATGTGTTCTTATGTGATTCCTCACATTTCTCTGTCTGAAGAAAGTTTTGCTGCACAACTGCAAGAGAGAGAATTAAATATGAAAGCCAGATATAGAAGTCGGTGTGGGAAATGAAAACTTACTGTAGTGCTTTTTTTTTTGGTCTTTTGTCACTTTTATAAAGCAGAGAGTAGACTGAAATGATGGAGTGAGAAAGGAGAAATGGATTTGAGAAATTCTGCGAGGCGGATTCAAACCCACTCTGCTCTATCAACATGCTCGACATGCGCAAACCGCTAGGTCACAGCTCTGATGCTACTTTTTTTTTTGCAAAAAGGATAAGCAGGGGTGCACATAAGTTTTTCGGTCTGGTTCTCATGAGAGCACCTGGAGGTTTGATTGGTATTCACACTACAGAGTGTGACTCATTAAATAACTATTTAAAAAAAGAAATATTAATAGTGATAATAGTATTATTGCATTTATTCATTTTGTATTTTAATTAAACAAAATAAATAAAATAATCAGTGTGATAATACTACTATATAAAAAAATAAGTTGAGTATAAAATAAAAAGTTATTTTATAGTCAGGGGTGAAGTTTTCTAGCCTGGTTCTCATATGAGAACCTGGAGATTTGGTTTGGTCCTCACACGGCACATGGTGTGACCCATCAAATATAACTATAAAAAAAAATAATTAATAATAGTGATAATATTATTGCACTTTTACTTTTTTTTTTTTTTTATAAAATAATAAACGAAATAATAAAGTGTGATAATACTATTTTATTTTTAAATAAAAAGGGAGTATTAAATACAAATACAATTATTTTATAGTAAACTTAAAAATAAAATGCTAATATTTTATTATTTTTTATTATTATTATTTATTATTTTAATTTGAACCTTAATTATTATTTTTAATTTGAATTATTTAAATTTTTTCATTTTCAAACTTAAAATCAGCAAGTTTTTATTTTGGCGAGTTGCCGGCAAGTAAGTATATGCGCTTCCGGGTTTAGCGCTGCCGATTGTAGAGCGTCAGTGAATGAAATGTCAGTTTTGCATTGTGCTTTAAAAACGTTAGCAGGTAGCCTAGATTTATGCTATGCCACACTCTCCTTCAGTTTGGATAGAAATCTTATACAGTACAGTTTGTCGATCTAAAATGTTAATTGTGCATTAACAGCTGTCAACCATGTCGGTACGCAAATGCGCGCTCTGAACTAATTTACACAGCGCATTTATTATTTTGGTCGCGCATGCGGACCACTTATGTGCACCCATTTATAGTACACTTAAAAATACAATGCTAATATTAACACAGCGCATAGCCTAGATTTATGCTTTCGGTTTGAGTGGAAATCTTATACAGTATTACAGTTAGTCGATCTAAAACAGTGATTGTGCATTAACAGCTGTCAACTAGGGCTGTCAAAAATAAAAAAAATTCGAATTTCGAATATTCGTCAAATTTAAAATAAAAATCCGCATTCGAATTTTAATTGTGCGTTAAGGAGGCAGCCTTATCAGTGGCGCACGAGATGCGATGACGATGTATGTGTCGTTGCATTATAATGTTTTTGTTAGCCTATCCAGTTGAAGCCACTAGATGCGGCGCTGCTGCGTTGTTCATTAAAAATATTGCGGAAAAAGAGAACATCAATGCGGAGAAAATCTTGTTTACATCAAAACCAAGCCGTTCACACAGAACATATTTCGCGCATTTTCTAGAGGGACATCTATCAATGTTGCACTCGCATGTTGCACAAAGGAGCCGCATGTTTAGAAAGCCATGTAAAATTAATGCAAGTTTAACTTTGAAAAAAACATATATCGAGACTTTATGGTGGGGTTTTTTCCCCATCCCACTGCATCTCATGTTTTTAAAAGAAAAATGTACTCTGTGTGATTGGCTTTCCGCCCTTTGTATTAAACTATGCATACATACATGATGCTGTTTTGTTTAAGCAACTTAATTATAATTGGTTTATAAACATTATTTTAAACATTATGCACTTTTTTTCAAAGATAGTCATGTTATCTTATGCTTTGAATAAACGTG